CCCCTCCTCCCCTCCCGCTGTGCAGGATGGCTGGTGTGTGTGTGTGTGTGTGTGTGTGTGTGTGTGTGTGTGTGTGTGTGAGCCAGCGCTTTGAGGAAAGGCTGCCGCTGCCTGGAGATTGACTGCTGGGATGGTCCAGATATGGAGCCTGTAGTTTACCATGGCTACACCCTCACCACCAAGATACTTTTTAAGGATGTCATTGCCACTGTGGCTCAACACGCTTTTGAGGTTGGTCCGATGTTCTGTGTTTTCCCACACAAGCAGTGCCTCAGGTAAAACACACTCCTGCCTCTTTAAGGATCTCTCAATTCCCCACTGAAATGCAAATGCTCCAATTAGTAACCTCTGATTAAAAAAAAAACTCCTGCAAACTGTCTTTGATTTTGCAGACATTTTACTGAGATGTGTGGGAAATCTTTAAACCTTTACCAAAAGATTTGCATCTAAGCAGATAATTGTTGAAAATGGAGACTTTTTTTCCCTAATGGGATTAGTTTGTTACAGGTGTCTTCTTACCCAGTGATCCTGTCTTTGGAGAACCACTGCAACAAGGAGCAGCAGGAGGTCATGGCTCAGTACCTTGTCTCTATCCTGGGGGACTTGCTGTTGACCTCTCCCTTGGATCATGCAACCAGTGGAGACCTTCCAAGCCCAAACGTAGGATTCAAAAGACGAGAGTTTGGCTATATTTGTAAATGAGCAGAAAAATCAGTTTGTGGAGGTAACATAAATGGTTGTCAGTAGAGTCAAACGGGATGAAAAAACAAACTATTTTAGTCGTCACCGAAGGCCTCATTAGTGTCATCCTGAGGCTTCCTGTTCTTCCCGCCCTCACTAGCACACAGGGATAAATGGATGTTTGAAAGCCTTAAAAAAAAACAACTAAAGATCTAATGTGATGTTGCTAATTGTGAGATGTGCCCATCACTTTCACCACATTGCAATGCTCAAGCTAATCATTTAGAAACCCAGTCTCTGGAAAAAAGATGTACAAACTCATGATTAGGCAAATCTGACAAGGAGTGAGCAGGATTTTTACTTCCCTGTATTTGACTGTGAACTGAATCTCTTTGTACTTCTGAATTTGACAGCTTTTGAATTTTCCGGTGCATAATCTCCATAACAGTTTTTCATCTTGACTTGAGAAACAATGGGGACTTACTGTATATAGTAGACTCAGCTTTAAGCGTTCAGTTTTACTATTAACACCTGCTGGGTGGAAGCAAAATCCCTTTTTGTAGCTGAAATTGATGGACTCTATACAGAAATTTTTGAAATCGGATTGTGTTCAAAATTACTTGTACAATTGTTTAAGCTGTCAGCCAAATCAAAAAAGCTAAAAAAAAAAAAAATACATAAAAGCAGTGTTAATGTGATGTAAAAAAAATCTATCATATTTTTTGCCATTTTATTTTAACTTTATATACAGATTGAAGCAAAACAGTTAAAACCAACACATGAAATCCAAAATTACTGCTCTTCTATCTGAAATAGCTGTGTAATTATGTGTAACATGAAAAAAAATGAAAATGCGTTATCATTTTTTAAATAATTTTGTAGCCCGAAGCATGCTGTTTATGGTGTGTTATCTGAAATTACTTTACATTTTAGGTCTGCACAATGTTCTTGTTGCATGGTTCACCACAGAACTGCCTCCAGCTCATGAGTTTTCCTTGCCAAAAAGGATAGTTTGCTTTTTTAATGCGGGGTTATGTGGAAAGAGTATGAATTGTCAATATCTTACTTGTTGTAGATAGCTCTTTGAATGAAATTATTTAGGAGAAATAAATGTTGGATGAGCTAGTCTGAACGAGGCCAAGAACAAAGTAGATTCCTGCCACGTGAAAACAACTGTAATCTCAATCTGTGGTAGAAACATGATTGTCATCGACTTTTACTTTGATGTTTACAAGTATTAAATAGTTTCTGTCAGACTAAAGGTTTAGTGTGAAACTGATGACATTATGTCAAAAAATAGCATTTGCATCAAAGCTGCAGTAGGTAACTTTTAAAACTGTCACTATGTCCGGACAGTAGAACAATTTAATTGAATAGCCCTGCTGTAAGATGTACATTTTTAGGCTAAGTCCATGGTTTCCTCAGAACTCCCTACTGCAGCTTTAGCCAAAGTGTTTTTTCCCCTAAGGTATTGGCTCCACATGAACTAGTCTAGTGGTTTCCAAGGTTGGGGTCTGGCCCCCTCTGTGGGTCATGACACAGCAAGGGTCCCCAGATGATTTCCAGACATCAATTTAAATGCAAATAAATTGCTAACGAAATATTATTATACTATTATTATAATATTATTATATAAACACTGACAACAGTCAAAATGACACCATCAACTTTCATCTTCAAGCTCATGATCCTGTCAGACTCTCTATTCACATCTAGAACACTTTTCACAAACTGTTTCTTTATTACCCCTACTCAACACCATGATAGAACAGTTTGAATCCACCTCCAATGTTCCTGGCCTTGCTTCCTTTCCATCTGGTCTCCTGCACAAACAAAATATCTACCTTCCTTCTCTCCATCATGTCTGCCAGCTCTCTGCCTTTACCAGTCACTGGGCCTCATGCAAGAACCGTTCGTACGATTTGTTCTTAAGTTGTGCGTACGAGTGATTTAGGAGAATTTGTGGCATTCACCAATGTTTTTGTGTTCTAAGATTTTTTTCAGATACGAACAAAATTCACGAGTGGTCCAGACCTGTCGTATATTTTACCAGCAGTCAGTCTGCATTATCTAGATGGAATTTTCTCACCAATAACTCCATATTTCATTAGTTTGAAGATATTTTGAGTTGAAAATAAATTACACTCCATAATTATGTTAACAATAGGTTATTCTGTTTGAACTGGAATTAGATTTTAACAACATAAATTGGTTAGATTAAATTAAATTGGCTTTAAATGCTGTTGTATAACACTACAATATTAATATGAAGATCTCATACTAAAAACCAACTTAAATTATGCATTAATTGAAGTTTGGAGACATTTTAAAATGTGTCTTTTCAGAAACGCATCTGTCACTTGTGACGACCGGGAGAGGGGACACGGCCAGGCGGGGGGTGGTGGTGGGGGGGCCGGGGGGGGGTGTGTGCACGACCGCTCTTCCTCTGAATAAATGAAAACTATGTAACGCAATTTTTTACACTGATAATAAAAATATTTGACCAAAGAAAAACCGGAGCAGGACTACAGAGAGAGAGATGAATATGATTTAGATTGTTATTTCTGTGACTGTAACGACCCACAGGACAGGAGACACAACATTAACAGCAGTCATCATTTCATTCCTTGGCTTTAAAGCAGATCCTTTAATTCCAGCTGACGCTGCTAAAAATTACTTTTTTTTGTGGATCTCTGACAGCAGGACTTCAATCTCCGAACTCGTAAAGTTCTTCTTTTTTACTTTGCGATGCCATTCATGAATGGACACTTCCTGGTATGTGGGGCAGGAAACATATATCTTTATATGGTGTTTTTGGGGTGGTAATTATGCCAATTACCTCTCTGCGTTCACGAGCAGCTGGATGCAAACAGGTGGAATTTACGCAGCTCATTTACACACTTTTCCTGAAGATAGAAGAGTTTGTTGAATCTGACGTGACATGTTCGTATGAACCCTTCATACGAACAAAAGTAAGAGAAATTTAGGATAAGAATAAGAAAATGTTCTCTCATGAGGCCCAGTGTTCCTACATTCAGAGTAACTACTCTAACCTCCACACTCCTGCCTTCCTCCTCTCCTCCTCGATGGTCTTCGACCAACTGTAGTCCAATTTCGACTGGCACCCTGCTGGTCAGCACCGGTGGCGGTCATTGTTAACCCGGGCCTCGACTGCTCCAGTGTGGCAGTCAAATTTGTGATCCGCATGTTTGTTTTGGCACAAATATTACGCCAGATGCCCTTCCTGATGCAACCCTCACCATTTATCCGGGCTTGGGASCGGCACCAGAAGCACACAAAAGTACACCCCCAGTGGCTGGTTCATTTATTCACTATATAATGTCTATCTTGGGTGAGCTGTTTTGTAGTGATGTTTAAAGACTTATCTATTATTTTTCTTTTACTCTATAGTGTCCTAGAAACTCATCCATTGGTTCAGTAAAAGTTGTTTAAAGAAGGTTTGCTCTCAATCTGTGGAAACAGCCAAGCATTGCAACCTGCTCTGGTACAGCAGGCTAATGTTGGCTAATTGTAACATCTGCAGCTAATTATTGTTGTTTCAGACTCACTGAAAATGACTGTAAACATCTAGATATCTGAAATGTAATGTCTCCTGTCTTTTCCTCTTTGTGTCACTGGACTTGATTTTTTTAATGAAATGTAAACTGATTCTGATGTTAAAACATTTAAGTCCAAATACATGTTAAAAAATTGTGAATCACACCAAGTTACATTTTAACCATCACCATGTAATTTGCTTTTGTTAGATGCTCACAAACTCTAAAAAACATTGTTTTGTACAGAAATATTTTTCTAGGTTCAGTGATAAATTAAAATTCTAGTATATCAAAAGCTGTTAAACAGCAACGTCTGCAGTCTGTGCTTGTGTAAATAGAAACATAAAAAAGTGTAACATATATATGTAAATAGACACTATGATGTTGATTAGAATTTCTCAGTTAAAACCAGCAAATATATGTAGATCATCACTTCTGATTCAGACGTGTATTTAAAAAGTGTCTTAGTGTTGTTTGTGCGATGTCTGACTGGGAGTACTCAGTGCATAATCAGGAAGTCGTGTATGAAATGCAGACACACTGTGCTGACCAGGGATGTAGTAAGTGAGTGAACATTTTACGTTCCAGCTATTTCTCAAAACTGAGAACTATCCACAACAGGTAAGATATTCATTGTTAAAAACCTTTCCACAGAACCCCACTTAAATAGCTCTGACTCATAGATTTAAGCCTTTCTACTCATTTACAAAGAGAATCCTACAGCAGCAAGTTCATGCGGTGAAGTGGGACTCTTTTTTGTCGTTCTTCCTTTTAACTGCTAAAAATGTGCACAGGCATAAATGCAATTTATTTGTGACAAATCAACACCAGAGTGACCTGTGCGAAAGCAGTGCTGTGTTGTAGCATGTGCAGTATTTCCACTAAGGGTTTGTAAAAGTGCAACGTGAAAGTAAAGGAATAATCCCGCTGCTTATGTGTAATGTGCTTGAATTCATCCTGTTTGTGTGCAAATGTCAGGACCTGAAGTATAAGATCCTTATCAAGAACAAAAAGCTAAAGCCTCAGATTAAGACAGAGGACGCAGCTGAGGCAGAGGAAAGTGCAGATGAGGGTGAGGATGATGAGGATAATGATGATGAGGAGGAGGACGAGGAGGATGAGGATGATGAGGATCGTCAGACCAAAGCTAAGTTTTGGTCTCCCAGAAAGGCAGGGTCAAAAAAGAAAGTAAGTCAGGGTCAGATTAACACAGCTTTACTGTAGATTATTCACATCAGGTTTAGACAAATGAGGACAAAATGATTAAAAGAAATGTGTGTTTTCCTTTGAATTTGACTACTATTTTTGTTGTGTCTTCTAAACAAAATAGAAGAAGAAGAAGAAGGTGGTGGCTCAGGCTTTATCCGACCTGGTGATATACACAGAGTCTGTCAAGTTCATCAGCTTCAGTCACTCCAAGGTCAATCAAAACGGCTACGCGAACACATCCGTTGCAGAAGAGAAGGCTCGCAAGCTGGTGAAAGCCTCAGGTACAGAGCTAATAAATCACAGAAAAGATGATTTATTGTCTTGCGATGCTAAATGTCCAACGTCTCATTGATGAGCCTGATATATGCAGCACTGTAAACTTGAGGCGTATGGAGCATAGAGCGGTGTTTTGTCAGGGGACACGGCAGCACAGATCTGAAACGTGTGCTGCGCCCTCACAGCTCAGGAGGTGAAAAGAGCTCACACAGGTTCAAATAAAGAAATAATACCAGAGAAAAAGAGTGGTGTTAAGAAATTTTCCCCCGCTGAGAAGGACTGACATGTTTCAGTCACACAGTTAAATATCTTTTAAGATGGCTGACTTGCTTGAAAGCAGAATAAATGGAATCTGTGTTAGAGCAGCGGGAAATCTTATAATTCAATACCACCCTGCAGGAAACCTTTTCATACAAAACTATTATTAATAAGAGATTAAAATGTTCATGTTGTCTTTTTGTCCTCGGAACACTGATAAGTACTCAGGCAAGCAAAGCTAATTCATGTCACGGTAAACTATAATAATGATTAACTTCTTCATTTTACAGTGGCTTGCAACAGTTTTCACCCGTTTGGTAATTGTTCTGTTTTGTTGCCTTACAAGGTTTAATTTATTTTTTAATTTGATTACGAGTAATAATTCTGCAAAGACACACTTAACAACTCTGACATTAGGTGAGGAAAACAACTACCAAATTATAAATATAAACTGTACAGCTGAACAGGTGTGTGTGCATTAGTAATTTTGCTGCTTTGTTTTTACATGAGGTGCTACATGGTGCCGAGGATATTTCATAATAAATGTTAGAGTGAGGTAGACTTCTGTTCCAGTTGAATTATATTGTCTATTTTAATTGGACAACCTGGTTTCTAAAGATAAAATGTAAGACTAAAGGCAAATTTGAATGTGCAAATTGGCAGTAAGATTTAGAAAATTAAAAAGGGGTAAAATCTTGCCTAGAGCAACAAATTGGCTAGGTCCAGCCCTGTCTTCTGCATGTTTGGGAAACAAAAATTCAAAAGATCTGCCACACTGATTTCTCGAAGGAATGTTTTTATCTTTTTTGTTGTTGTTGTAGAACTACTCCTCCAAGAAGCCCAGCTCCATGCAGTGAGTAGCTCAGACTGATCCCCTCCTCTCTGCAGAGGAGCTGCACAGCTCCATGAGGGTTACCTTTGTTCTCTTGGTTGCTTCTCTGATTAATTCCTTCATTGTCCAGTTGGTCAGTTTTGGTGGACAATCTTCTCTGGGCAATTTCGCTATCGTATCATAAACTTTCCATTCGTTAACAATAGATTTAATGGTTCTTTATGGGATGTTTGCAATTACTCTTATCTGTTTTTCTGCACAACTTTGTGAACTATGTGGTGATTTCTTCGGTCTTAATGAGATCTGTTTGTTGATTGTTGCCTTTAGAGGTGTCGATTGTTGAATATGCTGAGATCATTGGACATTTAGGGTGTATTCACATCTGACACATTTGGTCCACTTTAAACGGACCAGACGTTTCCCCGTTGGTCCACACGTTTTACGCTGGTGTGAATACACTCAAGCAAATCCTGGTGCGGATCAAACAACCGGACCAAGACCCGTTTTTGTGTTCTAGGTCCGCTTCCAAACGAACTCTGGTGCGGTTCACTTCTGGTGTGAATACAAACAGACCTCGAACTAAACCAAATATAGGAAATCTGCCTTTTTGGACTTCACAGGCCACTGTAGTGCAGCAGCCCTTCCGTGTTGCTAATGCTAACACTGCGCTACAAAAAAATGAGTTGTTGTGGGTTTTTGAATGTTTGGGAATTCAAAACAAAAGGGGATGAATACATGTGCAGACTCCACTTTTAACAAAGACCTAAAATTACTATTTAACCTAATTAATCTGATAAAGATGTTTTTTGTAAAATTATTACTTACAATGAATTAAAAATCCAATAAAATTCCAAACAAAAACAAAAGGAGGTGGGAGATATTTTGGTAACCCAAAAATCAATTTATTAAAATTAACTTTTTGAAGTAAGTTACAAATCAAATTTATACTGTCATAAAACATAAATGCAAATTTGAAAAAAAATATCTTAGTGGTCGTATTACTACAAAGAAACTTTAGTACTGTCACTGGATCACAACAAAAATCCGTGACTAAGTCAGGTCAAAATGTAGACATCAGTGAATGTTTGAATTAATAAACAAACATCAGAGGGAGAGTTTGATCTTTTGAAGAGGCTATTCTTCATAAAAAAAAACAACTAACAAAGAGATGACTCAGGCGACAGCAAATCAAGATTTTATTGGGACAAATGACACTCTTTTCCTGCACAGCAATAAATCACTTCCTCTTCCCCTCTAACAAAACTGTTTGTCTCAGAACGAAGCATTCTTTTCTTCACCTTGTCGTCCATCCTCTCTGTCAGGTGCAGAGTTTGTTCAGCACAACCAAAGGTTCCTCAGCAGGATTTATCCCGCTGGCTACAGAACATCCTCCTCCAACTACAACCCTCAGGAGTTTTGGAACGTCGGCTCGCAGCTCGGTGAGTCAGAGCAGCTCGATCACACTCAGGCCTGAGGTGGAAGAACTCACGGTCAAATGTGGCCTGGGGGTGACTCCCATTTGGCCCACGAAGAGCACTAAGTGACAATATTCTGCACACAGTAAATATTGTCTCATGTTGACTCTGAAGAAGGTTTTATGTGTCAACTGGGTTATTTTAGTGCTTTAGAAATAGCTAAATTTTTCGATATGTTAGTGCTTTAGAATTAGGGGACCTAAATATTTGAGTTAGTGCTTTAGGGTTAGTGAAACTAATATTTAGATTAGTACTGCCCACCACTGCGTATTTGGAGACAACTCTGTCTGTCTGTTAGCACAATATTTTATGAACCACCAGACAGTTTTTAATGAAACCTTCCAGAAATATTTATTGGATGTGCGTCTATAACTGATTCACTTCTCCTAATTCACTTTCTGTGTTTTTGAAAACACAAAATGGCTAAAATTCAAACAAATTTACTGATTTTAAAGTAAAATTAGGTGTGATTGGTGCTAAGACATCACAACACATGCTCCAGTTATTGAGCAAGATCTGTTCTCACTTACATTTTGGAGTCAACCTTGATGATCCGTTAGCATAATATCTCATATTAGTCTTATATAATGCCTTTCGAGGCCCTCAAAGATGCTTTACAATTTCATTCATCATTCATTCACACACTGATGGTGGTAAGCTACAGTGTAGCCACAGCTGCCCTGGGGCACACTGACAGAGGCGGGGCTGCCATGCTGCACCACCGGACCCTCTGACCACCATCAGCAGGTAAGGCAGGTGAAGTGTCTTGCTCAAGGACACAAACGTTGATACAGCTGGAATGAGGCATTAAAGCCCTAACCACTCTTCCACAGCCGCCTGGCACTCATGAATTACTGGATAGATTTTAATGAAAGTTTCAGAAAGCAATCATTAGATTTATTTCTACAACTGAATACATTTTGGTGTGAATACTGAAGTGAATTTTGTGACTAATTAACTGAATTTAAAACACAATGTCATCAAACTGCAGCCATATGCTTTAAACAGAGAACGAGAGTAAAGCTTAGGTTATAGTAGACGCGACGCACAGGGCGCGAGGGGGTTTGTGTCAAAAGTGACGCAATCGCGGCATCCCCGCCCCCACGTGTTGGCCCCGCGTTGTGTCCTGGCGGGTGGTCATGCACCTCCGAAATTTTGAAACTCTGCAAAGGCTGCACGCCACTCGTCGCGAAAGTGCTCTCGCTGAACAGATCCAAATGTACCGGTATGATCCCTCCATGAGAGATCATAAAGACAACCAGATGGCACAAAACTCATGTAAGGAAATAGCAATGGCTTTAAAGAAAGACGAGTTAATATGCCGGATGACATGGAAAAATATTTGGGACTGGTTTGTGATCCTGGAGGAAACAAACCAGTGTTGCTCTCTCAGTTCGTGAAGCACAGAGAAACAGATAATATGAAAAAACAGGTAAATGTGGTTACTTTGTTATGTGTGACGTCAAGCATTTCTTCCTCTACACTCTTCCCGACTACTTTTCCGCTGGTTTAGCACCGTACTGCCATCTGTCGGTGACGGAAGAACAGCGATAACATGAACGTCAACTATGTTTTCACACAGCACGCGGCTCAGGAGCGCGTGTACTCCACGGAGCTTGTGCAACAACCCAAAGCGTGACCATAAGCCAGCCTTAAGTCTCTTTCAGTGTGTCCCACTCTGTATCATCAACAAAGCTTGTTTTTCATTCTAATATCTGATGGGAAAGGTACCACCCCCAGGTTTGTGACCAGGCAGTTATATACATGTGACTTTATCACTTTTTTAGAGTAGCCCGGGACAGATGCTGTGTTGCTGCTGAGAAGTTTGTTATTGTCATGATTCTGATCAGATCCAAGGCCACAAACTCACAGGCCCTGGCTGGAGCAGACTGAAATGGAGGCTTTTAATAAAGATTTTTAGAAGAGAATCGATTTTGTTTTCTGCAACCTTATACCGACTTCCAATTATTGATCACGTTTTTCTACAATTCAACATGGCCGCATCCTATTGAAGTTCTTTTTTATACAGCAGGGTTTGGAAATTCACCACGGACCGAAGAATTTGTTTTTATATGTATGACTGGCAGCTGATGAAATTTATGCTGCAATAGTAAATAAAATGCAACTACAAATACTCATACTAGAGCTAAACTCAAATTATGTTTTTAATTTATTGGTCACGCAAACATACATCATCCGTAGAGCAGAACTTCTCTTTTCACAGTCTACACTAGTGGCCTACGGCCCACACTGGGCCCAAGTGGGCTGCGGTATACATGGGCGAGACACAGTTCATGATATAACATGAGATTATATAACAATATTTTCAAGGTTTAATCAAAACGTCTATAATTTTTCATCTTAGATTTAAAACTGTGTGAAAAACAGCAGGTTAAACTCACTCTTTTCAAAGAATGCTGGGCCTTTATTTGTTTGAATAATTTAGCACACGCTGAGTTTTTTTCCACACTTTGTTACGTTTGCTCAGTCAATTCGTAACTTTAAACAGAATACTACGGAAAAGGTTACTTTTGATTCCTGTGTCAGCAAGTCACCGAGACTCAAAAAGTCTTTGACTCGTGCTGAACAATTGCTGGCAATCCATTACAAGCTGGCGTGGTGGAGAGAAGTGCAGCGCAGAAGTTTTCAAACTTCAAAGGAACTGACCCCAGAAAAATGTCTAGCTTTCATTCAGAATCCCAGCTTGAACATGTCGTCTGTGATTTCCCTGCAGCAGCTTCTCTCCTGACCTCCCGTCACACAATTTCTGGATTGATTTCCACCCATGTAAATATATTTCTTTCTTTCGTTCCTTTTTAAGCACAGCTGCGTCATTCTTTCTCCCTCCAAAGTTTTAAGTGACTCTGGCTTGATTCTTTCATTTCTTTAGACTCCAACTATGCTAACAAATCTCTGCTTTTCAATCTGACTACAAAAAAAGAGAACATCTTAACTCAAATACGTGACTGCAGCCAATCAGTATGAATGACACCCCCCTCGATTCACACCGTCTCGGCCCGTGCTCCTGTCGCTCTGTCTTGTCTTTACACATCCATTTCATGTGTCTCCATCATTCAGCGAGATTGCTGCTGTTTGTGAAAGGGAGCCCTGCTGAGCTGCCTGTGTGCGTGCTGTGGAGGCAGCTCTGCAGCTGAAGAGCTCTGCTTTCCCCCCCCAACTGTTGGAGACAGCAGAACAAAGCAGCGGCTTAGACGGATCAATTGCAGTCAGATTAGCCGAACTTCACACAGTGCAGCGGCGCGATATCCTAATCGAGACAAACATTCTGAAAGGAAGTACATCTGCCTCTCTTTTTGTCTTGACAGTTTGCTTGAACGTGCTACAACGTGTGGTCAGTGATGCAGTGGATGGGCTAAAAGGCAGATTAGCGCGGCAGAAATCCCCACCGCACAGGCCGCTGAATGCGCGTGTGATGCAACGTTTGCTGCACAAACATTTCAAGTTGTTTTTGTAATTTATCTCTCTTCTGCAAAAAATGAGAATGAGCTTACGGAATTTTCTTTTTTAAAACAAGCTTTAGGCACTTTTAGCTCTTTCATCTTGATGCTTCGCGGCACCTCCTTTTCATTGTTTTGACACCAACCTGTATCGCTTTGCAGTGGCTCTCAATTTCCAATCTCTGGGCTTGCCCATGGACCTTAATGACGGCCGTTTCCAAGACAACGGGGGCTGTGGATACATCCTGAAGCCAGCTGTGCTCATGTCCAATGAGAGGGGCTTTGATCCCGGCTCCAGCCAACACCGCCCCAAACCCACTCACCTGCTGCTGAAGGTACAACACTGAACACTAAATGATCTACACCCTGCACACGTTGGGGATTTATGAATTAAGGTGTAACGTTACAGGCCTATCTGTGCACGTGTGTGTGTGTGTGTGTGTGTGTGTGTGTGTGTGTGTGTGTGTGTGTGTGTGTGNTGTGTGTGTGTGTGTGTGTGTGTGTGTGTGTGTGTGTGTGTGTGTGTGTGTGTGTGTGTGTGTTTGTTTTTTTGCCTCACAATCAGAGCACTGTGCAGCAGAGCTCATCTCACTCGTTGCCTCCAGATAGCTGCTCTCCTGCTGGATGCTGTGAACCACAAATGATGTAAACCTCCCGGAGAGTCTCTGTTTAATTAGATTATCTCCCTCAGAAATTAAAGGGAAAGAAGGAATATAGGTGATTTAATGTAATTAGTCCCACAGTCCAATTACTAAATCATCACACTCCATTATTTTCAGCATCTTAGAAGATAGTAATAGCGGCACTCTAATGTATATCTTGAAGGAGGCCTCATTGTACAAAGATGAAAGAAACATAAACGTGGATGTTTATCTGTCTGTTTATGATGCTTCCTTGTTTTGTGTGGCAATAAGAAACATTGGCTCCACTCTGGAGGACAATTACAGAAAACACATATATTTTCAGGTGTTTGGACCATTTAACATGACCATGTACTAATGAGATGTAGTGTGTATTTTATTATAATGACTTTATGTTTGTTTCTAATTTACAATGTTCTCCCCCTTGCAGTTCAAATAAATAAAATTAATGCCTTTTCTTATGTACTATAAACATAGTATAGTTCAGGGACTTGCGGGGCTTAAAGAGTCTTCTGAAACCTGAATCTTATTTTTTTAAATCACGGTTCATGTGAACTTTAATATCAAACCATCTGTTTCATATTACACTTCAAAATTCTGTTGTTGTAATGCAAATAACAGCAGCAGCAGCTGTGCGGCCTGGGGCACTTCTGGTACAAATACCCTGTAATGGTTTGTAAAGGTTTATAAAATGATGTGCCCGTGTCTGTGTGTTTGTTTGGTAGAGAAATAGCTCATGGACAACTGGTTGAATCTTTATATCACACTCAGAAAGTCAATGGATGCACATAAACAATGGATTAGTTTTAAGTGCTAACCCAGTTCAAGATGGCTGCCACATCCAACTGACCGTAGGAAACAGAAAAGTTGCTCAGCAAACATTACAGATATTTAGCTAAAATTTGGTGGCATCATACCTGAGGTTAATTTACAACACAAAACGACTAAAACACCAAAACTCGGGCATGAATCGCAGTGAGTGATATGCATTCCTTCAGGTTTCTTCAGAAAACGTACTTTCCGGGTCCGATGTGGGATCATTTGGGTAACGTTTACCTGTATCCTGACTGAGTTGTCATTTTTCAAAGCAAAATTAGACAACAACACTCCTACAAAAGGTTGTAAACAGCATGAAGCGTTGTTGTGAATACATGCTAAAGTGGGAATAGCGGAAACAGTAGGAAGTTTTTCAATAGACAGAGGCCATTTTCTAGTTTTTTAGATAGACTATGATGCAAAGTCAAGTTTATTTTTGGTACAAGTAAATACAGCATTTTCATAACAACTGAAGGCAACATAGTTACTTGATTGTGGTATAAAATTGAACTACATGCCTGAAAACACAGAATAGCCCCATTAATGCTTCCTTTTTCCCTGAATCTGTATTATTTATTATATCATGGCAAAGTCAGGCTCAGTGCTGAGTGTTGTATTAAAGGAATGGTTTGAATAATCTCTAAAAAATTTTAAATCAGAATCTGCAGTTTCCTGAGAAAATGCAGCAGTTTGTTTTTACTGTAAAAGCTCTGTCTCATCAATGCTCCAAACCACCATCTAAAACACATCCATGTGGTCACAACGTGACTGTGACCAAACGTAATACTGACTGTTTTACAGCGTGACTGTAGCAGATGAAAAAGAAGGGTAATTTTGGGCCGGACATTGTAAAGCTCCATCACTGCTAAGTGAGGTGTGTCATGATAAGTGCATGCAGGTTTGTCTTTGATCAGGGCCACTGAGCAGAAGGCTCAGTGTGAGAGGACTGCAGATAAGTTAGCTTCTACCCAGACTGTCGTAAAAACAACACTCTTCGTCTCCATCCTCTCCAGCTGTTGATCTACACTCAGTATACTTTTTATTGTTTACCCACGATAAAATGACCCCTTCTCCCTGCATTTCTCTCCACAGGTGATTAGTGGATCCAATCTCCCCCTCCCCAGGACTGGCAAAGCTCTTGACCCCTTTGTCAGAGTGGAGATTCATGGGCTGCCATCAGACTGCTGCAGGAGAAACACGCAAACAGTCAGAGGCAATTGTAAATACCGCAAAGTAAAGTACTTGTAGGGACATCTCCAGGCACAACATGACCGGCTCAGCTCTGTTTTGTCAGATTTACCTTTACTTTAGTCAGCTAAGTTGAAAGTAGCTGCAGTAAGCCAAACTAAGTCAACATCAGTGAGGCTGTTTAGGGTCAAAACAGTGCATTAAATCTGAACGTACACAAGGTGGCTCATAGTAACTGAGCTCCTTAGATCCATTCCTAATTATCATCCAAGCTGAAAGGTGCTTTAACTATACCATTAACAACTAGAATCTGTCAACTCTGTCTGTCTGTTAGCAAAATATCTTGTGAAAATCTGGATAGATTTTTATGAGATTCTCAGGAAGTAATTGCCTACTGAATGTATCAACACCTGATTAACTTTTGTAGTTAACCCATGGCAAGATGGCCGCCACTGCCAACTAAACTTAGTAAACACTAAAATGGCTATAATTCAGACATTTCTTAGATAATGAATTAAAAATGGGTTTGTGGAACTAAACATTCTGCACCAGCCATGGTGGCCCTCAAAGGGCCAGTCGTAATAAACTTTGACATTTTATGTTTAACATTGATTAAACACAAACATCGCGTTCCTCATCTCATTGCTACAGTTGAGCACCACCTGTCCATCTTACCAAGTTTTAAAATCTTAAATCCAGCCAAAAAGTCTTTTTGATCTTGTTTTGAGACTGATTTACTAAACAAAAACTGGTTGTGTAAGAATAATCATCTTGTTTTCAGAATGTGTAAGATTATTTGTCTTGTTAGTCTGAAAATTTGACTCAAATTAAGTCAAAAATTTCTGCCAATGGAGTAAGAAATTTGTACTTGGTAAGATTCTTGAAATAAGAAAAAATTGAGTCAAATCAAGTATTTCAAGAATCTTACCAAGTAAAATTTTCTTACTTCAGTGGCAGAAATCTTTGACTTAATTTGAGTCAAAATTTCAGGCTAACAAGACAAATAATCTTACACATTCTGAAAACAAGATTATTATTCTTGCACAATCAGTTCTTGTTTAGTAAATCAGTCTCAAAACAAGATCAAAAACACTTTTTGGCTGGATATAAGATTTTAAAACTTGGTTAGGTGGGCATTTTTTGCAGTGAACAAACAATAACTGAGCTGTTTGTGGTATTTTGGGCATAGAAACAGCATTTTAAGATGTTATATTATAATAACTAAAATGTACTACATGTACAACTGACAATGTTAAACAAATAATGCATAAATACTCTTAAAAGTAAAAATAAGAGAGTTTTCTTCACTGTTGAGTTTTAGTGAGTAGCTGCCATCTTGAATTCTGAACTCTCCCCTTTTCACACAAGAAATTTCCACCGGAGGCGTGTTCTAGTTAAAATGCACGACTTGTAAGTGGGAAATTCCTATGCCCCGGTACAACTGGCCTGCTGCAAAATTAACTAGTGAAACTGCGATGAAATAAAGAAACTGCTACTTTTGAACAATGTGCACCTCAACCTAGCAGGATGTCATCATTTCGCAGGTAAAGTAATCAACGTGCATTATGGGAAATGTAGTTTACAGTCAATGCTGGATTTAAAGCATCTCATTTTAAGACATTAATACATATTTGAAGCTCTTGCTTCAAACCTGTGGCATTAAGTGGGGAAATAACTCTGTCTCTGTGTTAGCAAAACATCTCATGAACTAAGGGACCAATTTTAATGAAACTTTCAGAAAATTAATAGCTGCAGTACAATTAAAACTGATTCAAGATGGCAAGCACAATTAAAAAAACCATAGCCAACACAAAAATATATGCATAATTAAGTCAGTTTACAAATCAAAACCTAAGAGTCACTGCCTATAAATTCACACCAAATGCTATTTTCAAGATTTTAACCAAAACTGCTGTAATCCTGTCATTTCCTATAAACTGATTTTAGTTTGAAACTTGCATGAAAGCTGGCAGGCTGTCTGCGTTTCTTCAAGGAATGTCTTTAAATATAATGTAGGCGACAACGTTTGAGGCTGTGTTTCTGGTTTGGAGCTGACCACATGTTCACTATATTTAAAGAAAACTCACAATATTCTCACATGCATAGAAACCTACTGAACCCTCAATCTGTTAACACCTTTAGTGGCTAAACAGGTTCCTGCAAAAGACGGAAAATATTTCACGTCTCTTTTTGTAGGTTTAGTTGAAATCTTTACAACTGGCACGCCTGCTTGTTGTTGAGTGATCTGTTGTAAAAAGATGTAAGGTAAACAAAAGGCAGAATAATAACGATGCGTTTCTCTGCTGCAGCTCTGAGTCCTCGCTGGGACACTCGCATGAACTTCAACCTCAGCGTCCCCGAGCTCTGCCTCGTCCGCTTCTGTGTGCGCGATCAGACCGGCCTCCTCAGCAGTGAGTTTGTGGGCCAGTACACGCTGCCCTTCACCAGCCTGAAGAAAGGTGAGCCACAAGGCAGGAAGGGCCAGTTTAGGTGTGTGGACAGATTATATCAGATCACTCTGTGCTCCATCATCGTCCCCCCACAACATTCATCATGTCAGCATTACTGAAGGTTTCTCTGTGCTCTGAGGAGGGCTACTTATGAAAAACGATCCCATTTGTCCAGATGCTGCTCATCTATTTAGCAGCAATATGATTGCATTTGACATATGCTTTCACATATTTAAATCATTCAGCACCACTGCAAAACAAATCTACCTCTGGGTGTAAATAAAGTTTCCAGTTGTGGTCTATTTAAAGTGTAACTGCAATGCTTTGGTCTGAATTCCTCCTTATTGTAACTCCACAATCCCATTTTCTGAGGCACGTCTTAAAGCAACTTGTTTTTCAAGGTTTGTGAAGCAGTGCTTCAGGCAAACAAAAACGACTTTCCCTCATTAGCTGCGTTTCTATTGCAAATGTGCGCAAAACTTTGTCGATATTCTGTTAATGTCGAAAAACACAGTTTTGCAACTGCGGTGTTTCCATTAAGTAAGAAATGCTATTAAAATCACGCGTGAATACATTTGTTCTCACGAGAAGTCATTACAAACATGGCAGCAATAGATGTAAACACATAGCATGTTGCTACCACGACACTAGTGCTCATCACCAGAGGAGACGTTGGCGTCTTTTATCGAGGCTTTCCAGTGACAATTCCCTACTTGGGAGCGGCTACGTATGCCATGTTTTTGGGAAATTGTAGTCGGTGAGTTTACTATTTTATACTACTTCTGTGATATTACTACTATTTCTACTTCCTGTTATCTTCTCCGTCATCGTCTTTTTTGCCAGTAGAAACAGCCGGTTGTTGATCACGTGACTCCCGTGATGCGAAAAAAGTGTTTCCATTGCAGTTTTGCAAAAAACACCAATTTCGATGCGGCCGAAATACCACCTCATCCTAGCGCAAAAACATTTTGTCGAAAAATGTAATTTTTTTTCAAAAATGATGTGTTTCCATTGAGCAAATTTATTTTTGAAATTCCAATTTGTGCGTTTTCATGGTCAATGGAAACGCAGCTAGTGATGTGGTTACACTTCCAAAAAAATAATCTAACCAGTCATTTTGACGAGGTTCTGATGCTGGGGGGGTTAATACACCCAACAACCAAACATTTTGACTTATCCACTTGTAACATGGGCATTGTTGAATTTAGACTACAAAAGCACTGAAATAAAAAAAGTGTAAAAAATGGTGCATTGTCAAAAGTAGTTACCCGAAAGTTTTGACCTTAGTAGGCAGTACTGTCTCAAATTCTGTGACTTAATAATTAAATAAATTACATTCATAAAAAGCATCATAGAAAATAAAGGAAACTGAAAACTTTGACACAAACAGAATATAAAGATATTTACGTAGCATGAATTCAACTTTTCTGCACTCCTAGAGACTCCAAGTAAACACCAAAATGGATTTAAGGGCTATAAAATGGATTTTGCCTGATATGTCCCCTTTAACATTTCCTTCTCTACACCTCCAGGCTACCGCTGGGTGCCCCTCCGGTCCCGAGACGGGTGCAGTCTGGATCCAGCTTCCCTCTTCGTCTATGTTTGGTATTCCTAAAAAAAACCCAACTCTTTATACCAGACTCTTTCTTTTACACAAACACCTTGCCAAAACATAAAGCAAGCGTGGCAGCAGCAGAAGTGTGAATAAATAAATCATAAAGCACCATTTCTCCAGATATAAATATCAATTTATTGTCAAAAAATAGAAATGTGTTTTTGGGAGCTACAAAAGAAAAGAGCAGAAACTTTCAGCAAGACTGAAACGACTGAAAATATCATCCTTGCTTGCATCTCTTAGTTGAGAAATCCCTAGGGTAACATATTAAAGTCAAATAATATGCTTTTAAAAAAAGCAGTTATTTGATAGAAGCTGGAATCTCAAAAGAGTTTAAACAATTACTTCAAAAATGCTGTTTATTTATCATAACCTTCAAAACAATAGATGGGATTTCAGTAAGACTCCATGAATACAATGATCAAACAGGAGCGAGCTGCCTTTGCTTCCTGTTCTATTTCCCTTAAAATAAAACATATCAGAGAAAAAAATACCTAAATAGCTTCCAAAGAGGTATACATTATTGAAGTGAATCCAGTGCAGAGAAGTCTATTTCTATCTTCGGTTTTCTCTAAATCCTTTAAATGAGGAAAAGAAAAGTACGGGTCAGCGGGCCTGTCAGGATGGCGATGGCATTAAGATAACATGAAGACCTGCCTCAGTCCAGAAACAGTCAGAGTGTGTGTGTGTGTGTGTGTGTGTGTGTGTGTGTGTGTGTGTGTGTGTGTGTGTGTGTGTG